TTCGTAGTCCGCATCCCAACCTTGATGACCATAGTCCGGCCAGGGCTCTCCTGATAAAGAGAGAGACTTTAGTGAATTCAGGATGTCGCCAAAGGGCGAGTGTTGAAGGATGTCCGCGGCGGTGAACTCCGTGATTGGAGTCCAGTTGGGTTCGATCGGGAGGGGTGCGGAATATTCGGAGTCCGAAAAGGAGTCCGGCACCTTGGAGTCACGAGCTCCGCGCAGGACAAGGTTGGTGTTCGGCTCGATCGCCGTAGAGATTGCAGCCCCCGAGGCGGCGTCTAGCCACCCGTCCTCGACCGGCGCAGTCGGCTCCGAACTAAGGGTCGGAGCGGACACCTGAGCGGCGCCCTGGGCACTGTCCGGCGGCAGAGCTAGATCATGCCCATCGTGACAGTGCGGTGCGCTCGGCTGTGGTTCGGATCCATCGAAGATCAAGTCTTCGCGGATGTCAGTCGTATAGTTTAAACTTCCAAATCTGACCTGATGGCTAGGGGCGTAGCTTTCGATCTGCTCCAGATGGCCAAGTGAATTGGCCCGCAGTGCAAAGCCGCCGAATACGAAGATCTGTCCGGGGAGAAAAGTCTCACCCTGGACCGCGTCGTGGTTGATGATCGAAGAATCCATCGGTCCTAAAGGTGACGACACAGAGGAACTCTCAATGAAAGCACCAATGTCGGTGTCAAAACCGGCGGATCTCGGGTAGGGGGTCCCGAACTGTGTGTCAAGGCGGATGGTAACAGGAGACAAGGGACACGATATTTTTACCCAGGTTCGGGCCCTCTCGATGGAGGTAAAACCCTACTCCTGCTTGATTAATATTGATGATATGGGTAGTACAAGAGTAGATCTACCACGAGATCAGAGAGGATAAACCCTAGAAGCTAGCCTATGGTATGATTGTTGTTCGTCCTACGGACTAAATCTCTCCGGTTTATATAGACACCGGAGAGGGCTAGGGTTACACAGAGTCGGTTACAATGGGAGGAGATCTACATATCGTATCGCCAAGCTTGCCTTCCACGCCAAGGAAAATCCCATCCGGACACGGGACGAAGTCTTCAATCTTGTATCTTCATAGTCCGGGAGTCCGGCCAAAGGTCATAGTCCGGCCACCCGGACACCCCCTAATTCAGGACTCCCTCACTAGGGTTTGAGGTTAATGCATTGTGAGATATAAAATAAAATTGAATGATGGTTTTATTAGCAAACGCAAAATGACATACTTTACTCAGCAATGCACATGAATGATAAAGAGGAAATGCAACGATGCTTCTATATTTCATCATTAAAACCCAACCATCCTTTAGAGGGAATTGGAATACAATAGGCAAAATATTAAATAAGACTATGTCATTACCTAGTAATCATTGATAAGGTTTCCAACATTGTAGGAGTTTAAATCAAAAATCTCTTACCATAAATACGTCGTAACTAGGGTTTAAGTTTAAAACACATGAGATATCCAACCTAGTTTGGAGAGAGGGTTTTTTATTAGCCATGACGCAATGATACACTTTACTCAACCATGCATTTCAACAACAAAAATGGCATAATTAAGAAAATCACTCTACTCTCTATATTAGTAAATCGCCCACTATATGTCTAGACTCGACGAAATGCTACGAGAAACGTTAACTCAGCATGCTGTTATCGTCATTGCCGAATAGGTTTTCTTGTTCTAGCCATCGTTTTCTTTTGCATGGTAATACACGTCTCATTCACATCATAGAGATCATAGTACAAGACACGTAGACATCAACCTGACAAAATTTTGAGGACAACATAACGCTAGACTTTGCACAAAGGACCACCAGCCAAGAACGAAAATTACAATGAAGATTGAAGAATCCACTGAGCATGACACCAATGCCGCCTGTTACCTACCTCTGGCACCATCATATTATAGTAGTCACCAAAGGAAAATATGACGAATCACCTCCTCACTCGAGCTCGACGTGGATCCATCGTTGATATGCAACTTTGCAGAGCTTCAAGGTGGCTCACCAAAGGCGAAGCCATTGCCGTTGAATAAATCAGACAGAGGCAACACCCGGTACATGCCATCGAACTCCAGATATGGCACCCCCGCTCAACGAAGACATCGGAGGAGGAAACCATACCCGCCAACCTAATTGGTGATGTTTTTATTAGCTAACACACAATGTACACTATCTTCAACTATGCATTTCAACGACAAGAGATGACATAAGATGATGCCTCGACTTTCCATCTTGCTTAAATCTTGTACTTTTGTCTAGATACGATAAATTCAACGGTGATAGGAGAAGGTTAACTAGCACAATGTTAACATAATTGTTGAATAGTTTTATTTTATTCTTCATTGCAAGGAACGATTGCTTACTGATTCCATCCCCAAAGTCTAATAATCCTTTGTGTCACGTTAAAAGGTAAACTAAATCACACACAAAATATAGATAAGGTTTTCCGCATCCTAATAGCTTAGCTTAAAAGGTTCTTGTCATATATACATTGTAGTATGAAGCTAGGGTTGGAGGTTAATGCACTGTGAGATATCAGGCAAAACTGAATGATGTTTTTATTAGCAAACGTGAAATGACACACTTTACTCAGTGATGCACATGAACGATAAAAAGGAAATACGACGATGCTTCTACATTCTATCTTTAAAACCCAACCATCCTTTAGAGTGAGGTAGAATACAATAGGCAAAATATTAAATAACACCAGGTCATTACATAGTAATCGTTGATAAGGTTTCCCACATTACAGGAGTTTAGCTCAAAAATCTCTTACCATAAATACGCTGTAACTAGGGTTTAAGTTTAAAACACATGAGATATCCAACCTAGTTTGAAGAGAGGTTTTTTATTAGCCATTGCGCAATGATACACTTTACCCAACCATGCATTTCAACAACAAAAGTGGCATAATTAAGGCAACCACTCTATTTTTTATATTAGTAAATCGCCCACCATATGTTTAGACCCGACGAAATGATACGATAAAGGTTAACTTAACACGTTGTTATCGTCACTGTCGAATAGTTTTTTCATCTCAGTTTTTTACATGGTAATACGTGTCTCATTCACACCATAAAGATAATAGTACAAGTCACGTAGACATCAACCTGACAAAACTTTAAGGACGCCAGATAGCCTTTGCACTAAGGCCCACTAGCCAAGAAGAAAAATTACAATGAAGATTGAAGAATCCACTGAGCTTGAGACCAACGCCTAACACCTACCTCCGGCACCATCATAGTGGAATAGTCACCAAAGGAAAATATGACGGATCACCTCTTCATCCGAGCTCGACGCGGTTCCATCATTGAATGCAACTTTGCGGACCTCCAAGGTAGCTCACAAAAGGGGAAACCATTGTCGTTGAACGAATCCGACTGATGCGACACCCCGTACACGCCATCAAACTCCAGATCTGGCATCCTCGCTCGACGAAGACGCCGGAGGAGGAAACCATACTTGCCAACCGCCAATCGCGATCCCAGCTCACGACCCGCCGTCTTCCAGATGTCGCCAACACATGCCACTACCTGCATCCTCTCCTGGACTACCTCCCAAGCTCCACGCCGGCGCCGGAGCAAACACCGACGCACACGGTGGAGCCCGAGGACGCATGTCTACCACATGGATGTTGACGCCGCCACACCATCCCGGCTTGAACAGATAGCCACCTAGACCACCACCAACCACATAACAGAGCGTCGTGTCGTGAGAAGATCTGGAGTACTTATATTCACCGCCGCCCTCGCCCTTGCCGAAGCCAAGACGTCGAAGAGCCGAAACCCTAAACCACTGAGGCCCTAACCCTCCAGCTACACTGATCCACATATGCGAGACCCGGCAACCCCCTCTCACCACCGACGACGGCCGAGAGGTCGTCGGCGAAGGGGGGACCGCCGGAAGGTTGGTCGCGCACCTGGCGGCGAGATGAGACCGCTTTTCTTTCTTCTTCTAGCCTTGCTCTAGCCATTGAAGCATCCAACTAAACCCGCACCCGCTGTAGAAAATCCAAGAGCCGAGCACCATGGAGGGTGCTTTCTACCCCCACAGCCTGCGTGGGGATTGAAACCAACCCATGCTTCGAGCTCGTGACTCCTCACATGTCACCGCTCCTGCCGTTGGAGCAACAACCGCCCCAGCCAGCCCTAGGCGGCTGCCGACGGGGTCCACGCGCCAGTCCGCCCACCCACCCCGCCCACGTCTTCCTCCCGTCCCGTCCCGTCCCGGGTCTCTCCCTCCGCGAGGCGAAACGGAAGCCCCCCTCCTCTCCCCTCCCCTGCCGAAAACCAGCCCCCCGGATTTAAAACTACGGAGGAAAAGGAGTTAGGGAGCGGATTAAAACCCACAAACCC